CTGAGCTGAGCCGCTCAACCTCAGCAGGCCAGCAACAGTCTAACTCCCCACCAAAGGCAGTGGACACCAGGAGCTGCCAGAGACCATGATTTCTGGAAACCCAGCTTCTGGCCTACCCTCACAAGGACACTCAGAGTTGCTACTCACACCCGAGGATTCGGTGCAGCCCGCAGCACTGCTGTCACTTCCTGCAGGTGCGTGTCACACGCTGTTCAACCCAGTTACAAGGGGAGCTCCTATCAGAAAACTCCTCCTGGGCCCGGTGCAACAGCCTAGTGGCTAAACCCTTGCCTTGCCTGTACTGGAATCCCATATGTGTGCTGGTCCTAATCCTGACAGCCTGCTTCCCATCCACTACCTGCTTGTGGCCTGGGAAAGCAGTCGAGGATGGCTCAAAGCCTTGGGACCCTGCACCTGTGTGGGAGAACTGGATGAAGCTCCTGGCTTCAAACCAGCTCAATTCTGGCTATTGTGGCCACTTGGGGAGTGAAACAGCAGATGGAAGATCTTTCTGTCTCACCTTCTCTCTGTAAATTTGCCTTTCCAATGAAAACTTATTAAAAATTTAAAAAAATGAAGCAAGCGCCCTCCCCCTTCCTTCCCTCCCAGCCCAGCTGGCCCCAGTCTGTGCCCTCACATCCATACCCAGGTTCCTACCTACCCCACCCCCAGTCCTCTCCACTTGCCCCTTTGCAGTGCATTCCTCAGCACGGGCCCCCCCAAAAGCTCCCCAATTCCAATCCAACCCCAGTCCTTGCCCCATCCCCTCTGGATGCTGCGTCTCCCCTCACATCCTCACCCCACGCCACCTGGCGGGCTCTCCCCAGGCCCCACTGGCCTTTCTTTCCCTGAGGGCAGTGACCTGGGGGAGAGCTGACACGTCAGAGTGTGCACCATATGCCAGGCTGACGCTGTGCCCGGCCCGGGACGCGCGTTTACCCACCTCGGGGCAAACCTCCCAGACAGGTCTCGCCGGCCACCCTCCTTTCATCAGGGGACCAAACGACTCACCCAGGGGCAGGTGGCGAGTGGCAGAGCGAGAGGCTCCGACCTGTCTAAACCACCACGATCCTGCCCAGGGTAGCTGGCTCTGAGCTGCCATCCACCGACTTTGGGATGATTGAGGACTGCTGTCCCAAGGCAGGCCCCCAACCTCCTCTGGGGGGTTCCCATCGCGCCCCGTGGCTCGGCCAGGCCTCAGCTTCACACCCATCTCACCGCTCCCAGAACCAAGCTGGCCTGGGGTCAGACACCCTGTCCTGCCCCGGGTCCTTGGAAAGCTCAGCTTCTCCTGCAGGTGTCCTTGGCCCCAGGCCCGTCCATCCAAAGGAGAGCTTGCAAAGGCTTTGGATCCTGGCTGCCCTTCCCAGGCTCCTGGGCCCTGCGGCTGCCCCCCGTGCAGGACTCAGCTCGCAGTCCCTCCGTTGAGCTGCTTCTCTGGCCTCTTGGCCCGGCTTGAGCTCCGAGCACCGCCCCCCCTTGCTTGTCCTCCCTCCCTACCTGTCCTCCCTCCCCGCCTGCCCTCCCCCCTGCCTGTGCTCCGGGACCCCTACCTGTCTTCCGCGGCCCCTGCTTGTCCCCCCTCCGCTGCTGTCCTCCCTCCCTGCCTCTACCCCACCAGCCCGAGCCCCGTCCAACATCTCCGATCGTCCCCTGCGGGCCCAGTTCCCTCCCGGAATGGCCTCCGCACCCTTCCCCCGCCGCCCCAGGCCATGACCTCCCCCGTCCGTCCCCCCGAGCCGAGGTCCCCGCCGACCTCTCGGCCTAGGTTCTCACCCAAAGAGGCCAGAGAAGAAGGACTGCGAGTTCTTCACTTTGCGCTCCGCCTCGGCGAGCAGCGCCATCGCCTCCGCTTCCTTCCCAGAGTTGTCCATGGCGGCCTCGGAGACCCGCCCGACCCGGGGTCCCTGAGAGGACTCTGGCCCGGCCGGGCCGCGGGAGATGCGTCCGCCAGGGAGCCTAGCTGGCTGCGTAGACGTCGCTCCTGCGCGCGCCGCCCGAGGCCGCCACCACCTGACCGGCCATGGCCAATCAGCGGCCTCGTAGAGGGCCGCGCACACCCCGCTGGCCACGCCCCCGCAGGCCGCCATGCCCCGCCCCGGGACTCCCCACCTCCCAGTGGCGTCACGAGGCCTCCACGCATGCGCATACCCCTGCTTCGCGCCTCCCGCTGGGGCTCGGGTTCCGGATCAACCGCCTAATGACGGCGCGCTAGCCAATCGTGATTCATTACCATCCAGGCCCCACCCACAAAGCGCGGCCACTGGATTTCCCCTTCCACCAATCAGCAGCGGATCTCCACTCGGGCCCGCCCCGCGGTGCGGAACTTTGCGCCGGGTCAGCTGAGCGGGGGCTGTCACGTGACCCGCCGGCGTCTGACATGTCTGGGGCTCCGGGTTTAGTCCCGCCTCGGAGCCCACAGTCGCCAAGGTTCTTTCCGCTCCGAGAGGCCTGTGTGATGGAGACGAAGCCGTTCTACTTTCTCTCGCGCCCTCTCCCGGCCGACGCCGAGACTGGGGCCGGGGGAGGTGCAGGTGTTTCTTTAAGGGAACTCCACCTGCCGGTTATCATCCACCTGCCACAAATAAAAGCTTGTTTAGCGCAACCGTGCTTGGGGCTATTTGGTGACAGCGCAGGCAGAGTCCTGGTGTCTGCTGACAGTGCCAGGGTACCTGGTGTCTAGTACCGCTCTCCGGCGTCCTTAGAGAAGTGGCTGGTTCTAGGATCAGGCAGTAAGTTAAACAAGAGCCTGGGGCAGCTTGTACCAGAAAGTATTTTGCGCACACACATACACAGACGGCAGGGTGTGTTTGAGGGCGCTGGAGCAATACAACTTAGCAGTATTGGAGTATAATCCGAAGTACAAAGTCTGTGTGAACCCCTGATGGTATCAACGAGTGCACTTACTGAACAAACGAATGAGGCTGGAAAGACAATCTGTGCCCAAGAAGTGTAAATAATGTATGTGAAGGACTATGCTCGACTGCGTGATTGGTGCAGCGCCGGTAGCAAACAACATACTGTGGGATGGGGTCAAAGGACAAAGACCGGGCAGACAGCCCGAGGTCACGGCCAATGCAACAATGCGATAAGACGTGTTGGCAGTATTTCACCCTGATTACACATGTAGACAGCACTTGACCTCCCAGTCCAATCGCCAGAGAAATGGGGGAATTCTGATTGAGGCCCTCTCTGCAGTCCTCAAACTGTGAAGTCGTCAAAACAAGCAATGTGGGAGAAACTGAGGCAGCCCAGAGTAGCCCAGGGAACAAGTAACTCAGGGAAAGATGGCGTTCTGGGGGAATCCTGGAAGAGAAGGGCATAGGATTCTGTTTGGTTTTGATTTTTTTCTTTATTTTTCTAGGAGGAGACTCCAGTTGATAATACCTTGTCCATCATACTCTGTCATGTTGGCTTGCCAACTACAGCAAATGCACCAAACCAATGTCAGGAGTTGGGGAACTGGGCCCAGCCACGGTAGCCTAGTGCTTAAATCTTTGCCTTCCAAGTACCAGGATCCCACTGGTTCATATCCTGGTGTTCCTGCCTCCCATCCAGCTCCCTGCTTGTGGACTGGGAAAGCATTGGAGGATGGCCCAAAGCCTTGGGACCCTGCAGCCATGTGGGAGACCCAGAAGAAGCTCCTGGCTTCTGATTGGCTCAGCTCTGGCTCTGGTTGCAGCCACCTGGGGAGTGAACCAGTGAACAAAAGATTTGTCTTTCCTCCTCTGTAAATTTTGCCTTTTTGATGAGTAAATAATCTTAAAAAAAAAAAAAAAACTCAGGGAAGCTGAGGGGCATGTGTGGGAGCAATGTTTTCAAACCGCAGATTCCGAGTCTGCGTGAGAGCACAGGGTCCCGTTTCCTGTTCCAGAGCTCTGCCCGCAGTGAGTCTGCCTGGTGAGCAAACACTGCAGCATGACAAACTCTTGCCCAACCCTATTCTGCCCTGGGTACTTTCCTGAGCCACTGCTGGCAGCAGCTGCGCACTGCTGGGGGCACAGCCAGAAGGCTGCGGCCTATTTTTGCGGTGCCCATCAAGGTAGCACTGGTAGCAGAGTGGCCGTTTGTCGCAGGTCAAGGTGGTGTGGCTAGCAGCAGTAAGCAGTGAACACACCTGGCAACCCTCTATCCAGTCACCCAGTGGAGCTTGCTCTGGGCAGGAATAAGCTTTGGTGGGGGTCCCTTCCCACCTCCAAGGTGAGCTCAGAGGCAGCAGCCGCGAGAGTCTGGGCAAGTTCTCCCCACCCACCTGCCCACGTGGGTGTTGACCCAGGAGTTAGGCCCAGCCCAGCCTAGGTGCTGATGCTGGCTGCCAGGGGTCCTTGAGTCAGGATGTCTCCACGTGTTGGCTTGCTCACTGCTGCTGCTATCCCTCTGTGCCCTGTCTTCTGCTTTCCGGTGTGCCCACTGTTGCAGTGTTAGCTGAACAAGCACCGTGTCCAGGGCTGCTTTGCAGGGAGGCCCAGAGCTGGCCCAGCTGATACTTCTGGCCAACACGTGGCTGAGGTCCAGTGCTGGCAGGGAGAGTCAGGACAGCTGCTCATGAACCCAATTTAATAAGATTTACAAGGAGACACGTACAAAAAACACGAAACAACGTACAGGTCATTGCAAGATGAGGGACTGGATCCTGAGAGCCGAGAGCCCGCCGTGGGGAGCGGCCCGCTGGGTGAGGCAGCTGTCCTCCCGCTCATTCTGTCTTGGCTTTGTCTAACAACAGTAACTGGACCCCACGACCCAGGGCAAGACTGAAGAGCTGCCCAGACCCAAACTTCCCTGCCGCGTGTCTCCCACTCGGGAAGCAGAGGTGGAAGGGGAGAGACTGGTAGCCTGGCGAACAGTGCTTCCTGCCCTGCCCACGGGGACTGTGCTCTGGCTAAGTGGCCACCAAGTCTGCTGGCAGGGCCGACCCTGGTGGAGAGGCAGGGAGGGTCCTGGGCGGGTGGGGGGAGAATGGAACTACAGACCCCCCAAGCAGGCTGGCTGCTGGCCTGGTGTCACCACTGCAGGGGGCCGATGGCGGCCCCCAGCTCCTCCTCCTCTTCCTCCTCCTCCTTCAGCTGGAACGGCTTCGCTGGCCACTTCACCCTGACCACAGGCTCCACGTGGTCCTGGAGGCGATGTCGCTTCATGTGGGCATTCCGGCTCTTGATCTTGTCGAACACCCTGGGGGTGTGGGAGAGAGCACTGGCAGTCAGAGCTGCCCCATGGGGCGGGGCACAGCAGGCAGTTGGGGGGACCACTGCCAGGACTCTCTGGTGTGTGTGTGGGGGGGGTACCTCTCACACTCCCGGCATGGGAAAACGCCTTGGCCCTCCACACTTCCAGGTGCCTCGGGCGTCCGCTTGGGGCCGGCGTTGGGGCTAGAGTTGAGGATGGACTCCCTCCGATAACTCTTGGTCTTGATCTTGAACTCAGGAGTTGGGCGGTGACTGGGTCTCTCTCGGGGGCTGCAGGTGACCTTCAGAGAGGCAGAAACCGCAGGAGGGAGTTGGGTCAGGGCTGCCTCCTCTGCCCCCCTGTGCCGCAGACCCTGCCATCCACCCCGCACTACCTTCTCCTCTTGCCTCTCCACTTCCTCCGGCTCTCTCCTGGCCCGCTTCTCTAGCCCTGGCATTCGGCCGCAGTCAAACTTGACCATTTTTTTCCAGATGTAGTAATACTCCACGCACTGTGCCACTGACTTGGTCTGGATCTGCCAGGGGACAACAGAAGCCCCTGATGGCCCCACAGGGGCTGACCTCCCTTCATGGGAGGGGCTCAGCACAGCTCCCTGCCTCCGACAGAGCGTCCTGCAGCCCTCCACAGCCTAGGCCCCGCCCCACCCAAGACATCTTCCCAGAGAGATGACGCCCACGGGGGTGTGCAGAGGACACACCTCAGTGCCTGCTGTGACGAACCAGCAGTGTGGCCTGGCCACACTGGCACAGCTATCACAGTGGCAGGCAAGGCCACTGTCAGCGGGCTTTCACTCTGTAGGCCTTGAGCCAAGGCCTCGTCATTCATTCTTCCCTCCACTGCAAAAGGACCCTCTTAGGATAATCCCTGGAGCAGTGCTGTGTGCGGAGGGGGAGCCCAGTCTAGCACGTCTGTACCCCACACACTGTGCCACTGACTTGCGCCTGTTCTTGCCCGACCCACTCTGCTTTGGATCCAGCTTCCTGGTAACATGCCCCAGGAGGCAGCAGGAATGGACGGCTCATGTCCTGGGGCCCGCCAGGTATATGGGAGACCCTGATGGAGCACTAGGCTCCTGGCTCCAGCCTGACCCAGTCCTGGCTGTTGTGGGCATGTCGGGTGCGAACCAGGAGATGGAAGCTGTCTTACTGTCTTTCTCTCTCCATGTAACATTGCACCTCAAGGACATTAAAAATGTCACAAACTGCTACAGAAGCAAAAACAACTCGGAGAAGGCTAACGCTAACTGCTCAGGGTCAGGAGAATTCTCTGGCGATCGGACAGATGGCTGCTATACAGCAGGCCGACCCAGCTCTGCGTGCGCCCAAGTGCAGCCACTAGGTGCTCAGCCCAGCTCTGAAACAGCACAGCACGGGTGGCAGGCAGCGGGTGTACTGTGCCCCTAGACAAGGAGAGCCAGTCAGGACCCAGCAGCAGCCAGCACAATCCCCGAGCACCAGGCTGGACACCCGCCACACCCACCCAGTGGGCGGCCTTGCATTCCAGGACCCGGCCCACGGAGAGGGACTCTCAGCAGAGCCCACGGGGGCTGATGCCAACACTGCCCACAAGGAAACCTGGTGGTACATGTGCATGGGCGGAAGTGAAAAGGAGGAATTGTCAGAGCCTGAATGTTTCCCTGTGACCCTGGCTGGGCCAGAGCCAAGCCGAAGCAGGTGCGCAGTAAGCACGCCCAGCACTGCGCCAGCGAACAAACAAGCAAAGAGGCAGGCGAACAGGACAGGTGAGCGAGAGCCAACACTGCAGACAGGGAAGGACCAAGGCTGCTAGGGGTGGAAGCTGCTGCCTGCAACGCCAGCACCCATAGCCCATGGTGGCTATTTGCAGAATGAACCAGCAGGTGGAAGAATTCACTCTCTCTCAGCAACTCTTGTCTTTTAAATAGGAATTTTTAAAATATACAAATTCTTTACTCACTCTAACTCAAAAACACATGGCCACCTGAACAGCTCTGTGTCTGTTGTGGAAACTGACATTCCATTTCGGAGCCTTGCCACATGGGCCAGCACTATAGCACAGTGCGTTAAGCTGCCATGTGCAAGGCCAGCACCCCATATGAGCGCCGAAGAAAGTCCCAGCTGCTCTACTTCCCACTCTGGGAAAACAAAAGATGCCCTTCCACCAACGTGGGTCACCTGGATGAGGTTCCAGGTTCCGGGCTCCTGGCTTTGGGCTGACTCAGCCCCGGCTGCTGCAACCATTTAGGGAGGCAACCAGTTAACGCAAGATCTCTTCTTTCTCTCTCCCTCTTTCAAATAAATAATTAAAAAAAAAAATACTTCCCACAAGTATAACTCCAGGCCCAGATGACTTCTCTACAAAATATTTAAGGAAGAAATAAAACTAACCATAAGCAAACTTCCTAAAAAGATGTGGACAACTTTCCAGCTGCATCTATGAGGTCAACATCACTCCGTAAAGTATTATGAGGAAAGAACACTGCAGACCAATATCCCTCGGGAACATGGGAATTCCCAATGGAACCTTAACCAATAGAATCCAGTAATATGCAAGCAGGACAACCCACAAATCTCAAGTGGACCTCATGCAGAAGCAGAATATTGGTTCAACTCAATGTAGTTCACTCCACGGTTCTAACACAGTCATGTGAACGTCTCAGTAGAGCCGTGTTATAACCCAACACCTGATACCAACTCCTGGGCTCTTGCAGTCAGAGCTTTTTTTCTTCAGAACATATTAACAGCCTCAAAAGCTGCTGATTAGGAGAAAGTACTGGCAGAATACCTGTCAACTAACGGGCCTGTGTCCCCAGAAAAGGTCTCCAAGTCAATGACAAAGATATGAGCACCCCCACAGAGAGCCCCATGAAAGAAGTGCCAACACCCCTGACCAGAAGTGGCATCACAGCTGGCCAGCGTGCACACGGATGGACACACGGCGTCAGCGCTCACCAGGGGAACACACCGAGCCGCAGACACACACCCATGAGGCAGGCCAGCACTGCGGAGCCGACTGTGTTGCTAGGGGGAATGGGAGAAGCCTGTGCCTGGCCCACCCTGTGGCAGCCTATCCATCCACCGCAAGGAACGCGGGTTCTGCAAGGAGTCCCTGGAAAGCAAATGTTACGAAAAACCACACATGGAACCTCAAAGGGTTTTGTGCCAAATACATTTCTCCTTTCATTCCGCCTTCCATGAACTTAACGAGGTACCATCCTATCTATTGCTGCCTTTCCAGCCAAGGAAGCAAAGCATGTGCCACACAGGGCCCTGAACACTGTGACTGTCCCAGCCTGGAAGCTCCGTGGTCACGAGTGAGCGAGGCAGTGGTCTACCTGCTACCTGGCCAGCCTGCCAGGAGGAAGCTGTGCGGTGTGGAGCCACACAGCCTGGCGAGTCCATCTCTGTGAGATCCCAGGCAGTGCAGATACCCTGACGGTGAGGGAGAGTGCTCAGGGCTGGCAGCTGGGCCAGGAAGTAGCGGGGTGGGGTGGGGGATCAGAGGGGGACAAGAAGTAGCCTGAGGGGTGCTGGATATGCTCTTTATCATGACCATGCTGAGGGTCTGTGTCAACACTGTACCTGGTGCCGTGATGCTGTGCTATTCTGTGCACATCAAAGCTTTCAAAAGTGCAAACTAAGAGGCAGCAGGTGCCACCATGCGAGATGGCTCATCCCTTCCACAGGTGATGTGCAGGCAGGGGTTTGTGTGTGTACATGTGTACATGCACTGTGTAAAACCTACAGTGCCAGGCCTGGCGTGATAGTGTAGCGGTTAAAGTCCTTGCCTTGCATGCACCAGGATCCCATATGGGCGCCGGTTCTAATCCTGATGGCCTGCTTCCCATCCAGCTCCCTGTCTGTGGCCTGGAAAAGCAGTCAAGGACGGCCCAAAGCCTGGGACCCTGCACTCATATGGGAGACCTGGAAGAAGCTCCAGGCTCCTGGCTTTGAATTGGTTCAGCTCCAGCCACTGCGGCTGCTTGGGGAGTGAATCATCAGACAGAAGATCTTCCTCTCTGTCTCTCCTCATCTTTGTATATCTGACTTTCCAATAAAAATAAATAAATCTTAAAAAAACCCTACAGTGTCCGTGGGCACCAGGATGAACAGCGCTCCTTAGGAGGAGGATGGTCTCGTTTGGGGCATGAGATGTATTACAGTGCTTATTTTTTAAATAATTTGAGAGGCAGAAAGAGAAAAAGAGAGGAACGGAGGGAGAGACAGAGAGAAGAGATGGAAAGAAATGGGCAGAGAGCGCTCTTCCATCTGCCGGTTCACACCCCAAATGGCCTCAATGGCCAGGGCTGCAGCAGGCCAAGGCCAGGAGGCCGAGACCCCACCCGGGTCTGCCATGTGCTGCCTGAGACCTTGGCACTTGGGCCGCCATGTGTTGCCTTCCCAGCCGCGTGAGCAGCGAGTGCAGCGGAGGACGGCGGGGCTTGTACTGGTGCCTGCAGGGGAGGCGGGCGCACCGCAAGCCCCGCCCTTGACCCTGTCACTCCCGCAGAAGGCTATGGAAGTCAGGAGCCCTGGACAGTGCTTGGCTTGCCTGGCTGCCTGCACGGGAGCCCTGTGTGCAGTGTCGCGTTGGCCTTACCGTCTTGTGTATCAGGTAGAAGTCCTTCTTGTGTGCACAGAAGGCCTTCTTGAAGAGCCTCTTCTCGATGGGGCTCCAGACGTCCGACCCTGCGGGAGAGCACCACCGCCTCTAGTCCCACTGCCCCGTGCTGCTGCACCCACCCTCCCAGACCCCGACAGGCTCCCCGTCCCAGATGCAGCGCCTCAGGCTGCCATCACTTCCCGGGGCAGGTGCGCCTGATCCTAGTGAGTGGTGGGCTCAACTGCAGATCCTGAGGCCCCCCACCCGCCATCGGGATCCCCTTGGTGGCTGCCACTTCTCAGATGTGAGCTGTGTGGCCCTGGAAGGTGCTGCGGAGAACAGCACAGGGGAGGCCGGGCCTGCCAGGGCTCCGACACACTCACGGAGTCTCAGCCGGACCCCACCTGCCCCAGCCACCGTCCTCCTGTCACCTGTGTAGCGGTAGTTGGCGAGAGGGTGAGTCCTTGGCTTCTGGGGTCCTCTGAGCAGGAGGGTCTCCAGAGCAACCTGGAATGAGAGGGATCACAGCCACTCCCAGAGGCAGAGACGGCAGGAGGAGAGCTCCTTTTAGAAAATGACCACCCCACAGGTCATGTCCCCCCGACGGCCGCCAGCCCAGTGCTGTGTGGGGTCCACAGAGCATGGCTGTCATGGCCATCTTTAGTAGCCTTCCCGTTGTGGCAGCCAGGCCAGCCTGCCTTATGGTGGGTGTCCACCCCTGTGGGGACCTGCATTTGGAAGCCACCGTGGCCTAGCGCCCCGTTTTGCTTTTTCCGTGGCACATGTCATCAGCTGGCAACTTTCTGAGATGTATTTCCTGTTCGACTCCTGAAGTGGAAGGCCCAGGCAGCAGAGGCCTTGGTTCCCTCCCCAGCCAAGCCGCAGGAAAGGGGTCACCCGGGGTCCCTGCTTCTCAAGGTGTAGAGAATCCCAGGCTGTAGACAGCCTTAAGCCAAGCACGGATCCCGAGCTGGCCTCACCTGGGACTGCCACACTGCAGAGACCTGGCAAGCACCCAGCACCCCGCCCAAGGCCTGCAGCACAAAGCCAGGCCACACGGGACTCCCTGGTCTGTGACCGGCTTATCCCCACCCAGAGTCATCAATGCTCAAAAAGGTGACCAGGGCGCCTGGAGCGGGCTGCGGGCACATGCATGGCCTTGGAACCGCAACCCAGATGCACACGGGCAGAGCTGGCTCTGCTGGGCACCCCACCCCATCCCAGGTGCTGAGATCCTGTCAGGGAAGCTGCTGCCCTGGCTCCTGCCCAGCTGCCAGCGGTAATGGCCCAGCCTGTCTCTGGTGATAGCAGGCCCCAGGAGCACTCAGAGAAGACATGTGACACCTTGAGCACCCAGCAGCCATGAGCCCAGCCCGGGCCTCACCTGGATGCTGCCCTGAGCCTCATGCAGGCAGTGTAGTGCCAGCTCCAGGTTGGTGCCGCCTCCTGGCATCACACTGGAGCAGGCCACGTTGCAGAGCTCGGTCACTGCAGGGCCCAGTAAGAGAGACACAGGGTAGTGAGTGGGGTAGGCAGGGCCTTCCTGGGCAGCACACTGCAGAGCCAGGGGTTACCTCACACACTGACCCAGGGCAGGCGGAGGGCAGAGGAACCTGCTCTAGGCGTTCAGCCAAGCGGGCAGGACACAGGGCGGGAGGCACAGCAGTGCACTGAGGGCCGGCCTCCATCCCTGCCCCTGACCCCAAGGACACTGCCGCTTGGTCAGGTGGGGAAGGGGGATGTGAACCCGTTGCAGGTGGCAGGAGGCAGGCCCCCGGAAACCCAGCCCAGGCCCCGGACACCTCTGTCCTGTGTCTCTGGGTTGGTCGTCATGTCTCCCCAGGGCTTCCAGACCAGAGAGGCCACGTGCTCGTCAACTCCAGCCAGTGACCTGTCCTGCAGCTCCGGGATCTCAGCCTGAAACCGGCTCCCTATGTTGATGTGTCTGAAACCAGAGCACAGACACGTGAGAGGGACACACGTATAACACGCACACACGTGGCTGGGGTAGGCACACATGGCTGGGGTAGGCACAGACAGCGGGACAGCAGGACAGTGGGACAGTGGCAGCCCCATCGTGGCCCCACCACATCCAGCACACAGCTCCTGATGGGCGGGTGTGGATGTGGGCTCTCTGGGCCCAGGGACTCACTCTGGGTACAGGACAAAGAAGGCCATGCCCGAGTTGCCCCCTGAGCCACCACTGACTCCACCTTAAGCCCTGGATCCCAGGCACGTGGCTCCTGCAGCCAGTGGTGCCCGTCCGGTCAGAGAAGTGGGGAGGAGGGCTTCTACACACACACACACACACACACACACACACACACAGGACCCGGCGCCTCTCACAGGATGCCCACGGGCGTGCACGGCAGGCACCTCAGGTTCTAGGTCTGTTCCAACTCACGGTTCAATGCTGATCTTGGAGTCGTCCTTCACCATACAGATGCCCAAAGAGCTGTCCACTTGATCTAGAAAACACACAGTAGAGAGTGACCCTGGAGGCCTGCAGCTCACGTAGGTGGATGCAGACTCTGTGGAGGAGGGGATGGGGGCAAGCCAGGTAAATCCTCATCAGCAGATGAGCAAATGAACATTTGGCCCTACGTGCCAGGGGCACGGTCAGCCAACCCAGGACTGAGCACTGGCACCTGCTACGGTGGGACACATAGTACCGAAGTCGCAGGTGGCAGGGCCGCAGCTCCAGGATGTGCCTGAGGTAGGCCAGCCTGCAGATGCGTGGCTGTCCAGGGCTAGCGGGAAGGAGAGGGATGTGGGGGGCGGTGGTGACTTCTAGAGGTGCAGGATTTAGCAGGAAACAGTGAGAAGGTTCTATCATTACTGCTGAGGAGGGGCGTCAGCTTGTGGGTACCCCCAAACACCGTATATTTTATTTATTTGTATAATAATTCTTTCATTGGAAAGGCAGGGAGAAAGAGAAACAGAGAGAAATCTGTCACCCACTAGTTTCTTCCCAAATGCCTGGAATAGCTAGAACTAGGTCAGACCAAAGCCAGAAGCTGGGAACTTCATCACACAGGTGGCAGGGACCCGGATCTTGAACCAACAACACTGCCTCCCGGGGAGTACGGCAACAGGGAGCGAGGACTGGGAGAGGAGTCAGGACTGGAACCCCAGCCCTCCAGTATGGGATGCCGGCCCCGCAAAGGGCACCCGGACCACTCTACCCAACACCCGCTGCACTCGACACTTGAAACCAGCTGTTTGTGTGATGTGTGAGTTACAGCTCAGCAAGGGCATGAAGGAAGGTGGACAGGAGGGGAGGCAGCAGACAGGAGCAGGGTCAGGCTGGCTCTCCCTGTGTTCTCTGCCTACAGCATGTGGAGCACCTACAAGGCTGTTGGCCCTGGACAGCTTGGGGGTACTTCCAAGTGGCAGGGGGACCCACAGGCCAGTAAAGTGCTGCAAAGGTAAGCGGCAGGGGCCCATGCGGGGCCGTGCGCCCTGGGCAGGGGGCACACTCACCCAGCGCAGAGCTGATGAACAGGCTGGGCCCGGCCTGTGCCGTCACAGAGCAGAGCTTGTTGAAGTAGAGCCCTGAGCCCTCCCGGATGGGGCTGAGCATGGGCGGTGGCGTGTAGGGTGAACCCTGGAACAGGCCCTTCAGCAGGCGGTCCACCAGGAACACCGGGGAGCGCAGGCAGCTCTGGGGGCCCCCGGGGCTTGGCTCCCGGGAGGCCGAGGGCAGGGGAGGGATGGGCAGCACCTTGGCCGGGGGCCGCTTCCTGCGCTTCCGGTGCTGGCTGCCCTCCTTGCTGTCCCTCTCCTCTTCTTCTCTCTCTGGTACCTGGAGAAGGGGGTCAGGAACCACAGACGATCACCCGAGGCCCAGCTACTATAGCGGTCACTCTCCAGGTTGGTAAGAGGGCAGGGAAGGAGGACACACGTGCCCAGCCTGGCCACACCCGAGGCCTTGGAGAAGGGGGCAGCACTGCTTGGACCAACTCACCCAAGCCAAACCCAAGATGCCAGGCACAATGCCAGTCCAGGGCTAAAGCCCCAGGAGCCCCAGGACTGGGGATCTGAGCAGCATGGGAGGGCAGCAGGGGCTGCAGTGACCAGTACTGAGAGAATGGGGCCTGCAGGGAGCGGAGTAGAATAGGCGGAAAACGGCTTCCCTTCAAGGGGAGCAGCACCTGGAGCCTGGGGATGAGACCCAGCCACTGACTCGACAGGATTTCTGGGGCCACACACCAACCCTGACTCTGGCCTTCTCTGCCGAGCCCAGCTCACACCAGGCACGGCTACCATTCACAGCCCTTTCACCCTAGGTCAGCACCCTCTGGCAGCCATACTCTTCCTCATCTTTCCAGGGCTCTGGGCTGATCATGCCTCCTCTAGGAAGCCCTCCCTGATTTCACAAGCTGGGCCAGGAGCCCCTTGAAGCCCGTCTAGACCTCATGTGCCACCAGCCCTGTCCACTCTAGATTGTCACTGCCAAGGACAGGCCTGGGACTGGCAGCCAGCGCGTCCGGGTCAGTGATGTGTTCCCAGCTGCCCCAGCACAAAGCCCTGCACAAGGGCTCAGCGGCCGTGGCATGGCAGAGTGACCGTGAACACACCTTCAGGGTCCTGGGTTTGGGTTTTTCCCATGGTAAAGCAGTAGGGAGCAGTGATGGGAAGGCAGCCGATGCCCAAGCATCCCTTGGCCAAGCTCCCAGGGCTTGGTTGCAGGACCTGCCTGGGGATCACCACGGAGGCTGTGACCTTGCTGCCCTTCCGAGGGGTCGCCCCTCCTGGGGGAGCCGTCCAGCCCTTTGGGCTTCAGGGCCTGTCCTGGTGGCTGGCAGGACTCTGGGCCCAACAACTGAACCCAAGAAAGTGACAGGCTGGGGCCGGGAGAGTTGCCCTGGGACGCGACAGGTTCCCTGGTGGGGAGGGGGCCAAGGTCAGGGCTGGGCATCTGTTAGCTGCCCACGGACCTGATGCTGCAGCCCCTGAGACACAGGACACCTAGCTGCCACCCTCGGCCCCTGGCACAAGCTCCACCCAACCCTCACCTGCTGCTCCTGCTTGCCCCGGGGCGAGGGCCACTGGTCGCTGTGGAAACACATGTGGCTGTTGAGCCCTTTCTCGGTGTAGAACATCTGGCTGCAGTTCTTGCAGATGAACGTGCTCCTGGGCTCGGTCCAGTCTGCAGCGGCCCCGTTCTGCTGGCCGCTGGGACGACAGGCAGGAGGGTGGAGGAGGCAGGCGGGGTTTGCCCCCTGCCCAACCTCCCCTCTCCTCCAGCCACCAGCCCCCTGGGCTTTGGTTTGGGGGATGTTAATTCCAATCCACTGTCAGGTCTGGATAAACTATCAAGCATGGTATCCAAACCCGGTGCCTCGGAGACGGAAGGCCCCGTCCCCCGGTCCTCCAGGGTCAGTTCTGGCCCCCGCTGGGTGCCTTGGGGAGGAGCTGTGCACGTACCATGCACCTGCCGCGTTCTCGTCTCTCGGGGGATGGGGTGTCCTGTAGGTGTTTCCACCCTGCAGAGGAACACAACCTCAAGCGGCGCAGTGGACATGAGGAGCTTGGGGAGAGCCCGAGTGACAAGAGCTTAGGACATCGAGGACAGCCCCTGGCGTGACTCACACGGTGACCCTTTGCACAGGCCACTGGAGCAAAAGCAAAGCCACAAACAAACTGCGCAACACTGAAAACTTCTGGGCTGCGAGAGACATGTTACTGCGCTGCCAAGAAAGCCCAGGAAACAAGAGGGAGTGATGGGCACCCCACGGCTGCCAGGGGGGCTTGCACACAGAATCCAGGCACCCCTGAGCCTGACCAGAATGGATGGAAGAGCTGCCTAGGACTCGGAGTGGCTGCACCCAAGGAGTCACCATGAGAGGAATGCACTGCAAACTGTGGGGCGCAGCTCCACCGCCGGAGGCGGCTGCCAGCCCAGGATGTCAGCGTGCAGGCCGGGGGCAGCAGGGAACTTGTACTAACACAGGGCCGGGGGCAACCATGAGGCCTCGGCACCCCCCAGGCGCAAAGAGCGCACCCTTACACCCACACCCCCGACGGCAGCTCTAGCCACAGCACCCACCAGGCATGAGCTGGGCAAACTCCTAGGCAAACGTCGAGGTCATGAGGGTCACCTCAGCTCGGGGAACCGACACTACGGCATCCTGAGGGCAGGACAGCGGCACCAGGGATTGTGGGAAACACATGGAAACAGGGCGGGGGAGGCCCGGGGGTGATGAAGCTCTCTGGCAAACGGCGGTGACGGCCGCGCCACCCCCTCACACCCTGCAGGCCTCCAGACTGCATGCTCCCAAGTGGAGAACTCCGCCGTAGCTGAATCACAACGCTGCGTATGAGAACGGCAGCTGTGGCTGACGGGAAAGTATGCTGGCAGCCCACGGGACACTGCGCTCCCTGTCCACGAGACGGCAGGTGACACTCAGTGCCCAGGACAGCTCTGCAGTGTCCTCACCCTCTCGGAACTCGATGTCCTCCTGTGTGACAGTCACCCCAGGAACTCACTGGGACCAAGTGACAACACCAGCACCACCAGGACCTGCTGACTAACCCCCAGCCCCCCCGTGCCACCGTCTGCTGTGCCGGGCACGCGGCCTGGCTCGGGTACCTGGATCCTGTTGAGGATGGTCAGCTTGGACTTGGCGTCCCGGGGCGGCTCTGCCGGGGGCCCAGCCGACGAGAAGGACGCCATGGCCACCTGGCTGGGCGACGCCGTGCAGCACAGGTCCATCTTCACCTTTTCCTTGCGGAAGCCGGAGAACCGCTGCGCCCTGGGGTTCCCCGAGAACAGCCGGTAGCCTCCACCCCGGGAGCAGGCCGGGCCCTTCTCGCCTTTGGCGGGCCCCTGAGCCGTGCTGTTCTCGGCCAGGGCCTGTTTCCCAGGCAGCTGGGCTCCCGGTGGTTCATCCCCCACTAATTGGCTCTGCCGGGGGCCTGTGGAGGGAAAGATCTCCCCCAGGTCCAAGGCGCCTTTTGACGACCGCAGCTGCTTGGCCAGGGAAGAGATGTCTGGCTTCCCGCACGGGTCCAGGGCCGGTGATGTGAGGGCCGCTGCTGCAGCAGCCACTTTGGACCCTCCCTTGGTGTCTCGCCTGGAGCTGCCTGGGGAGACCTCCCTGGGGCCCGTGGGTATGGTGGCTTTCCTCCTGCGGGCTGGGGATCCCTCCGGCTCAGGGTTTCTGGGCCCAGTGTGGACAGAGTCAGTGGATGGTGCTGGTGGCGGAGGCTGCTGAGGCCAGGGCTTGAGGGTGGCCTGCTTGCCCTCAGGCCCAGGCAGCTGAGAGGAGGCAGCTGCCACCTGGGCGTGGGAGAAGATCCGCTGGGACTTGGTGATCATCTGCAGCACCTGCATTTGCTCATGGCTCACCAGGGACTCCTGTGACTTGAGGAACAGCTGCCGGAAGAGTGGCGTGGCATCTGCTGGGAGCCCGCTGGGTTTCTGGGTATCCTGGGGGCTGGGTTCCCAGGTGTCACAGTCGAACTTGCTCTTCTTGGAGGTCCAGGAGTCGTCTTCACCTCCTGCATACTGGGGGTCACCTGGGGCCTCGGCGGGTGCCTTCATGAGCGCAGAAGAGAAGGGCGGTGTATCCTCGAAGCTAATCCCTGGGCCGACCAGGGGTTCTGCCGAGGGGGAAGCACCATTAGGCCCGGGGCCAGCCTGGCCAGACTCGCCGCCCCCGTGGGCTGGCAGGGCAGGCGGCTTGTGGACCACAGACACATGGTTGCCCTTGTTCCTGGGGCAGCCAGGCAGGTTGCGGAGCCATTGGAAGTTGTGGCCTGAGGGCTGGGAGCCAGCTGGGACCGTTTGGCTCCGGAAGAGAGGCAGGCGGGCAGGTAGGGCCCCACCCTCGGGCCAGCCTTCTGGGGTGGACAGCAGCTGAGGCGGCGGGGGCTCTGTCTCAGCAGGGTCAGGGCCAGTGCTCTCGGCTGCCCTGGAGTGGATGGCTGCCAACAGCTCGGCGGCTGCCTCCTTCTGGGCGGCGTGGGACTCCTCCGAACCCTCGGTGCTCAGGGCTGCTGCCAAGGTGGGGCAGGGACAGGCTGTGCTCCTGCCTTCGCTGTCTGCCGGGGCCGGGCCGGGGGAAGGCATCTTCTGGTGGACGATGCTGCTCACGATACAGCGCAGGAGGTCCCGGCTGGGCAGGAGGGAGCTGGGTGACCTGGCTTCCGGAGGCCCCAGGGAACGCAGGCTGCTGGGGGCTGGCTCGTGGGCATGGGGGGAGTCCCCACAGGCCTCCTCCTCCGGGGGTGCTTCCTTCAGGATGCACAGGCCATGTTGCACCTCGTAGTGCCGGCGTAGAGAGCGGTAGTCGCAGTAGCTCTTGCTGCAGCCCTGCTCAATACACACGAAAGGCTTGGTCTTCTGGTGCGTGAGCATGTGTCCAGTCCTGGAGGCCACAAAGGAGGGGGAGTCAACTCCGCGGCAGATGACCCCTGGGGAAAGATCCCGAGCAGCCCCCGCGTGACCAGGCCGCCTGCGAAGAGGTGAGCCCTTTGTCTGAGGACTCCACCAGCACCAAATGCCCTCTCCACTGGGTGCTGCTGATGTGTAACAGGTTGGGTGAAACCCACGCAACACACAGCAGCAAACTGAACAGCCACGCGGGGAACCTCCCACATGGAAAGTCTTCAGGTCTCCCACATAGGTGCAGGGTCTTAAAGGCTTGGACTACCCCACTGCTCTTCTAGGTCATAGGCAGGGAGCTGGGTGGAAAGTAGAGCAGCCGGGACACAAACCCGGTGCCCCTGTGGGATGCTGGCATTGCAGATGGAGACTCTGCTTGCTATGCCATTACACCAGCATTTCTCTTTGCAGACAGCCCATCAAGCATTGCTGAGGGCAGGACCTAGGGTGCCACCTTTCTGCTCACAGAGTCTGCACTTGACCTGGGGATCCCCTGTGCAGGCCGCTCCCTGGGAGCGCCCCAGCTGAGAAGTCAGCTGCCCTGCTGCCCATCGAGCACCCAATCACAGCAAACACCAAGGCATGTCCACACAACAGTCCGGCTACATCTGCACAGACACCTTCCAAAGACCTGTGAAGGGGGCTCACTGCCTAGGGGGCTCATGGGCTGGGGCTTAGAAATAGCACAGGCTCGCTCAAGCTCAGCCCCCAGCTTCCCTCCGAGGGAGCTCGGGAGAAGGACTCAGCAGACCCAGTGTCTGGAGCTGTCTGCTTCCGACTTGTGCCGGGAGCAGATGTCTGCCTCCTTGGGGTAGGCGAGAAGATGAAAACAAAGATGGCAGCTGGGGTCAGGCCCCAGAGGGCTGGCCACTGCCTGTGATGGCAGCACCCCACAGCTCACCCTGGAGTGGACTGGCGGCTTTGCTTCCAGCCTAGCTCCCTAGTAGTGCACGTGTGAAGGCAGTAAAATACAGCCCAAAAACTTGGACCCTGCCCCGTGTGGGAGACCCAGAGTTCCTCGGCTCCTGGCTTTGGCCTGACAGCTCTGACTGTTGTGGCCATTTAGGGAGCAAACCAGTGGATGGAAGATCTCTCTCTCTCCCTCTATGTCATTCTATCTTTTTTTTTTTAAAAAGATTTATTTTTCATTACAAAGTCAGATATATAGAGAGGAAGATCTTCCGTCCGATGGTTCACTCCCCAAGTGAGCGCAACAGCCAGTGCTGTGCTGATCTGGAGCCAGGAGCTCTTCTGGGTCTCCCACACAGTTGCAGGGTCCCAAAGCATTGGGTCGTCCTTGACTGCTTTCCCAAGCCATAAGCAGGGAGCTGGATGGGAAGTAGAGCTGCTGGAATTAGATCTGACGCCCATATGGATCCCGGCGTAGCGAGGACTTTAGTCGCTAGGCCATGCCGCCGGGCCCATGTCATTCTAGCTCAAAAAAAAAAAAAAAAAAAGAGTGAGTGAGAGAAAGAGAAAGCAAGCAAGCAAGCCAGGCTTGCAGTGGCAGTGAGGCCCACCCAGCACCCTCGGCCCCTCCCTCACAGGCAGTGAGAACGAAGGGAGCTGCGCTCTGCCTTCTCAGGGCAGGCTTTCCTTTTATAATCAAGACTTCTTTTTTAAAAAGCCTTTAAGGGAAAAAATTGTATAAACAAGAGATAAAAGAGAAAAACAACGGCCGCTGTCCTCAGACTTGCCCTGCCCTGCACCCATCCCTGCTCCCCACTGCTCCTGGGCATACCACGGGGCCCCCAGACTCCACCAGGGACTGGGGTGCAGATCCACTACAGGACATGGTGCCCCGGGCAGCGTGCCCTTCTGTAGGTTGAGCCCCAGGGCTCCTGTTGGCTAGGAGCTGCAGGCGGTCCTCACTGGATGAATCAGACCCCTGACACCCCACCCAGGGCTGGGCCAGGTCCCTGTACAGGTGGTCCAAGCCCGAGTCAGAACCCTCCGCCCCGCCCAGGGCTGGGGCAGGTGACGGCTGGGGTCCCCCGTACAGGTGGTCCTGCCGCTTGAAGGCCTTGCTGCAGATCCTGCAGACGTGTTTCCTCTCCTGGCTGTGCGTCAGGTAGTGCTTGCTCAGGGAGCTGGCGCTGCTGAACACCTTCCCACACAGGCTGCAGTCCAGCAGCGGGGTCTGGGGCGAGCTGTGCTGCCGCTTGCCTTTCCGTGAGCTCGTGGAGGTGGCCCGGGCTCCCCTGTCAGGCTCCTTCGGCCCCTTGAGCGTTCCCAGACCCAGGTCTGCGTGACGGGAGGAAGCACAGGTTAGAGATGCACGAGTCGGTCAGTGGGTCCTGCTGATACCCAGAACCAGGCAGCCTTGGGAGAGCCAGCCAAGACTCCGACTGCAGCCATGGCGCTGGGCCCAACCACAGGGACAGGGATAGGAAAGGCAGGCTGAAGTGCTGCGCGGGCATGATCAAGGCCCAGTACAGCTTTGCCTGGTGACATGTTCCAAGGTGCCCCACAGCTCACATGGGCCACACACAGGGTTGCACTACAGTGCAAAGGGTCTAGGCCAGACCCTGGACTCTGACCCCAGCTCTGTCGTCGGCCTCGGCCTTATCCCTTCACTTGCTAGGCCTTCCTCTCATTGCCGTGACAGGGCGTCAGCGAGTCCCAACAGCTCCAATGAGGAGACGCTGGGCCTCCTTGGGGGAAGGAAGCTGGGAAGGCCTTGGCCCTGCCAAGCTGCCTTAAAACACACAGAAAAACATGTTTGTATAAACCACCCAGGACACTGAAGACCCGGTGGCTGGAGCCTCGGGCCCAGGAAGGGTGGGGTCCTTGGGGCTCCGACCTGCTCTAGGGCTCCGCCAGGGTAGCCTGCCCTGACAGACACACTCCGGGGAAGCAGCCATGAGGAAACTCAGCGTGTGAAATGCTGTGTCAGACCCACTCTGCCAGTCTGCCAGGAACAAAGCCTGACGCTGTGTTGTTGGGTGTGGTGTGTGGCCTACCTTCGCAGGGGGCCACACCCACGCTGGGTTCTGAACATGCGGGCACTGTCACACCGTGTGCCCTCATGGCAATACTACTCCCATGCGTCCCACCAGTCAGGGGAGAGATTTTCTTTTTTTGATGATTATCAGATTTCTTAAGCTTTGGCACAAACATATTACTTTCTCAAAGTTAAAAGACTGACAAAATCCTATGCTTATGCTTATACATAGCCTTGAATTTTAGCTAGAGAAGGGTAAAGAGTTGAGGTTCGTTGTTTGGTGGTGCAGTCCCATTCTGCCTCTATGATAAGAAAGTCCGCCTGCGAGAGCCCGTGGGAGCAGTGACATCACTGTGTGGGGCACACAGAGCCCGTGGGAGCAGTGACATCACTGCCGTGGGGCACACACAGCCTGTGGGAACCCGCAGGAAGCTGGCCTTCTCCTCCCAGCACAGCACACCGCCAGCAACTGACACTGACAAACAGCTTCTCGGGCCCCGCTTCAAACCCTGACCCCCTTTCTCCACATTCCAGGATTTCACACTTGGCCGTCACAATTGTAAAGTGCTGCATCTGTGGTGTACGGTGTGCACTCAGGGCCCCTCGGAAGCTTCTCATTCTAGCAAGTCCTTCAGAAGGCTTCGTGAGCTGCTTATCCCAACGCATCGACTGTCTGCTGCTGTCCTAGGGCCAGGCCGGGTATGCAGGGTGATTACATGTGTCTGCCCACTCCACCTCGGCCAACCCAAAAGCCACTGGCCCACGGAAAGCCTCGAAGCCAAAGAGTGACTTTGGCCCCATGGGAACTAGCGTGAGTTAACCCGCATGTCGGACGATTTCAGAGCTCTCTGCTCCTCACCGGCAGAGGAGAGGGGCTGAGAACTCAGACTGAGGGCCTGCCTGAACTTAAACATAACAGTATTTGGGAACAGCGGAATGACAGCTGGGGTTCCTACAGCCACTCCTCTGCAGGCTGGCAGAGAGGAGATGGTGAGTGGAGATGCGGGGCCTAGGCCGCCTGGGAGCCCAGTGCGTTGAGGTGGGGTGGTGGCAGAGCTTGGAAAGAGCTGATGAGCATGTCCTAGGACAGCCGCGACCCTCAGTACCAGTCCCCGGGATGGGCGCTCTGCATCCCTCACTAGGAAGGCGGGAGAAATGTTCAAGAACCAGCGCCCCCCCCCCACCGCCACCCTGGCAGCAGCTCTGCCAGTGCCCGGCCCACCGGCTGCCTGGGGGCTGGGGAGACTGCCTCACCTTGCAGGGCCACCTGAGCCTCAGGGTCCACAGACTCCTCTAGCAGCTTCCCAGAGTCGCTGTCCTTCCCTGAGTACAGTGACAGGGCATCCAAGTTGTCCTCCAGTGCCTCGTTGGGAGCATCGGGCGCTGGGAGGCTGGGGTCCAGGTCCAGGCCACCCAGGCCAGTGTAGAGCAGGTCCCTCGTGTCAGGACCCAGATCCCGATTGAGGGTATCGCTGCAGTTGAGTCCCTGGCTTTCAGAAAATGACGGCAGGGACATTTCGGATGGAAGGGCACCTTCGTCTCCGAGGCTGTACTGCTCCATGGCTGGCCCCTGCCAGGTCTTGGCCAGGAGCTACTCTATGGAGTAGTAAGGCTGTCGCTGGCAGAAGAGGGCCCTGGATGGTGGCCGAATCCTGGAAGTGAACAAGAAGGGTTCCAATCACAAGGTGACAGCACAGCGTGTTGGGCAAAGCAGCCCAGGGATTCCAACAGACCCTCTGTGGGTCTGCTCGTGGCCCCCAATAGCCACGTGACCACAGCTCCACAAGTCCTCACTGCCCCTCTGTCAACTACACAAATTCCATCCTAGCGAATAGATGACAGGATGATGGCAACCATGCAGGCCTAAGCTGACCACTTTGTCCAGCTGTAAGCACGCGGAAACACAACAAAAGATCATTCCCAACGCATAGCCAAGGTCAAAGGACAAAGTCAAACACAGCAGTGCCAGCAACACTAAGAAAACTCCAACAATGTAAGTTCAAGTTGCCCTGGGAGAAGAAGTGATGTCTACACAGAGCCCAGCGCTGTGTGGTCCACTGCCAGGGCACACAGCACCGGGCAGGTGGCTGGCCCACTGGAGAGGCACAGAGAGTATACAATGCAACCTGAATTCGGAAAACTTTAGTGTGAAAGACATCAATACAGGAATCCATGTGTAACTCCAGGAGGAGAAAAAAATAAACCATGTGACACCCAAACTAGCATAATTCATCCTTCCAATTCTAAACATGATTTGGTTTAAAATACTAGAGGGGAAAGCAAAGAGATAGAAAAAAACACTCAAATCACTAAACACAGGACTGAAAGAGGAGAGGGACATCACTCAGGACTCACATGCTGAAACAGGTGGCAGAGGAGCACTAGGAACAATGGAATATAGATCACTTGTTAACAAGTTAAATAACTTAGAAACATGAACTTCAATGACCACTTATTAAAGCAGGTACAAAAGGGCCCGGCACGATAGTGTAGTGGTTAAAATCCTCGCCTTGCATGCACCAGAATCCAATATGGGTGCCAGTTCTAATCCCAGCAGCCCTGCTTCCCATCCAGCTCCCTGCTTGTGGCCTGGGAAAGCAGTGGAGGATGGCCCAAAGCCTTGGGACCCTGCACCCGCATGGGAGACTCGGAAGAGCTCCTGGCTTTAAACTGACTCAGCTCCAGTCGTTGCGGTCACTTGGGGAGTGAACCATTGGATGGAAGATCTTCCTCTCTGTGTGTCCTCCTCTCTGTATATCTGACTTTCCAATAAAAATAAAACAAATCTTAAAAAAATAACAGGTACAACAAATCTGATTACTTAGACAAAAATGGGCAAATCCCTAGGACGATACAAATGACCCAGACTGGCTTCAGAAGAAACTTTAAAGACCTATAACAAGCAAAAAGATTGAATCAGTAATTCTAAAATCCACCCTCCCACTGCAGAAGAGAAAGTCAACTTCCTCAAAACAACAGAAACATGTCAGTCTTAGGGCAACCAGACAAACTTTATCAAGAAAGAGGTAACGGGAACTGGTGTCACTAAACAAACCAAAAACTACAATTCACAACAAGCCACATCCAGCTCTAAGAGTATGGGAAGAAATGTGATTCCTAGAGACCTCTAACAGCTTTTCCAAAATGTTCCAAAGCACGCCAAGAAACAAAAAGTATAGTTCATTCAGACATCCATCCATTTCGAACGAAATGCTACAAGTCTGCACTGGATCCCCACCTCTGCTTTCAATTCAGCTTTCTATTTTATAAGAATAACCCCTTTTTCCCCCTCCCCTCACCAGCCATGGAATGAGTCTTTCATTTAAAAAAAAAGAATAAGAAGAAAAATAAAACACCTTAAAAAGCTTCAGATCCCTGGTGTGAAGTTAAATTGTTTTCTAAATACTGAAACAGCACGAATGTTCATAAACCAAGGTGTGAACTCTCCTACAGCTATTAAGCCAAAATTAGTTTGCAAATTCAGTGCAAAGCAGCCTAACCAACATGCTAGAAGTGCAAATGACTTGTCTGAAGTCTTGGTCCTAACAGGTGGTTGAGCCTGATCTTCGAGCTCACATATTCTGGCTCTGAAGCACCTGTTTCGCCCTGCTCCCTTGAGACGAAACTGTGCAGTCCCCCCCCCCCCCCAATTAACTCAGTGAACACCGAGGGCGCGGGGTGGGGCTGGGGAGGCAATCAGCCACTGCACCTCCTGCTCCCGCAGTTCCCGCTGCTCAGGAAAGCAAGCCACAAGCCCAAGGGCCACGCGTTGGAATCTCTATTTCTTTCCAGAGTGAAGCAATCCTTCACCCCGGAGCAATATTGAACTTGACAAGCGCTACCTACTAGTCCACATGAAGTTCAATTTGTGGTCCCCTGCAACCTGGCAGACATTCCCACGGGTGTTAGAATATGTCTAGGAATTTTATTTTTTCATGTTTTCTTTCTTTTTTTTTTTTTAAAGTTTTACTTATTTTTATTGGAAAGGCAGATCAGATTTATGGAGAGGAGGAGAGACAGAGAGAAAAATATTCCACCTGCTGGTTTACTCCCAAATGGCCAGTCACAATAGCCAGACTTGAGCTGATCTAAAGCCAGGAGCCAGGAGCTTCTTCTAGGTCTCCCACGTGAGTGAGGGTCCCAAGGCTTTGGCCCGTCCTCTACTGCTTTCCCAGGCCACAAGTAGAGAGCTGGATGGGAAGTGGAACAGCTAGGACACAAACCAGCACCCATTTGGGATCCTGGCACTTGTAACGGGAGGATTCAGCCATGGTGCTGGGCCCTAGCTGTGTACTCCTAGCTTGTTGATTAGGCTGCTTTGCACTGAATTTGCAAACCGATTTTGGCTTTATCGCTGTAAGAGAACTCACACTTTAGTTTATGAACACACATGCCTTTTCAGTACTTAAAAAACAACTTAGCTCCACATCAGGAATCTAAAGCTATTTTAGGTGTTTGATTTCCCTTCTTCGTCTTCTAAAACAAAAGGCCTGTGATTCCACAGCTGGTGAGGGGAGGAGGATGGAGAGGTTATTTCTCTAACATGCTACAACCTACGGGAAGGTAACTTGGGGCGTGGTTCTCAACCGCACAGATAAACCCCAACACATGAGGTATCTAATGTTCACTGCGGGTTTACTTGGGGAAACGGTCTGCAAGTCCACCTGGTATTTGCATTTCTAACAAAAACAAAACTTAAAAAAATTTATTAACTATATGAATTTTATTTTAGAGAGACAGAGAACTCCCACACACTGATTCACTCCCCAGATATCCCCCACCCCCAGCCAGGACTTGGCCAGGCCCAAATCAGGACCAGGACTCAACACAGGTGTCCAGCGTGGGTGGCAGGGAGCCCCGTACTTGAGCCATTATCCACTGTTTCTCTGTGTACATGAGCAGGAAGCCAGAATTGGAAACAAAGCTGGGATTCCAGCCCAGGCACCCCAATACAGGACAGAGTCTTTCCAAGCAGCATCATTATCATTAGGCCAAACACCAACCCTCAATATTAAATTTTAGAATTAAAGTGTTGAAGAAGTTAACCAACACATTTCCTCTGACGCTTGTCAGAAGAGTGGACTGAAACCTTACATTGGGAAAAAGGAAGACACAGATGAACCGGAAGGACTTTAAAAGCAAAAGGAGGGAAAAAAAAAAAGATTTTGTAGGGAGAGGAGAAACAGAGAAAGTCTTCCATCTGCTGGCTCACTCCCCAAATGGTCATAACAGCCAGAGCTAAGCTGATCAGAACCCTGGAGCCAAGAGCTTCTTCTAGGTCTCCCTCATGGGTGCAGAGTCCCCAGGCTTTGGGCCGTCCTCCACTGCTTTCCCAGGACACAGGCAGGGAGCTGGATGGGAAGTGGAGCAGCTAGAACACGAACCAGCGTCTATTTGAGATGCCAGTGCCACAGGGTGGAGGATTAGCTTAATGTATTCCCTTGCTAGCCTCTATAGTGACTTTTTAAAATGAATGAATACCTTGAGGGTTTATCAGTTTAAACTTCTAAAATAGTAAATATCAGAAGATATAATTCCATATAAACAAAATTCTGTGGAATCTTGAATAATTCTGAAGTGTGGAAGTGGTCTTAGAGATGTAAGGGGCCAGCACAGTTTCACAGCATGTTAAGTCTCTGCCTGTGGTGCCAGCTCCCACACAGACACCAGTTTGAGTTCTGGCTGCTCCATTCCCGATCCAACTCTCTTGCTAATGTTCCTGGGAAAGCAGCCCTGGATGGCCCACACCTCATGCCCCTGTGGCCACATGGGAGACCTGGAAAAAGCCTCAGGCTCCTAGCTTTGGATCAGCTCACACCAGCCAGTGTGGCCATTTGGAGAGTGAACCAGCAGATGGAGGATTTCTCTAACGTGTTCTCTATATAAACATCTGTCTTTCAAATAAAACGTATACTAAAAAAAAAAAATAGTTTGAGAATCCTGGCTCTAGGGAGAGATGTCTTGCACGAACACATGTGCATCAATGGGATTCTTTTCAAACACAGAAAAGAATGCCAAATTCCAAACTGGCAGCCAACACCCAGGTCTCATTTAACTCTCAATTAAATGTAAAATTCATTTAACACTAAATATGTAGCTAACATTTAAAAACCAGGTTTAGGGCCCAGCACAGCAGCCTAGTAGCTAGAGTTCTTGCCTTGCACACTCCAGGATCCCATATGAGCGCCCATTCTAATCCCGACAGCCCCGCTTTCCATCCAGTTCCCTGCTTGTGGCCTGAGAAAGTATTCCAGGAGAGCCCAAAGCCTTGGGACCCTGAGCCCGCGTGGGAGATCTGGAAGCAGCTCCTGGATTCAGCTCAGCTCAGCTCCGGCTGATGTGGCCACTGGAGGAGTGAATCAGTGATGGAGGATCTTCCTCTCTTTCCTTCTCTCCGTAAATCTAACTTTCCAATAAAAATAAACAAATCTTTAAAAAAAAGGGGGGGGGTTTAAAGTATAAACAACAAAATAAAAATTAGAAAATTTTCACATAGCTTTCTGTCTTTTCCAAAAAAAATTCCAATAAATAATCTTTAAAAAAAATTAAAAGTCTGGCTAA